AAAATAATGATTCGGCAACCATTGCGCGGCGTAAATATCGAGAATACCACAATTTACACAATTTTACAAAGTGTCCAACAGCTCAAACGATTAAGAACTGGGTTGCTAAGTTCGAAGAGACTGGTTCGACGTTAGATAAACAGCGGTGGGGTCGACCAAGGACAACTCGTATTGAAGAAAACATCAACATTGTGGCACAGTCTGTTCGTCAAAATCCTACCCAGTCTACTCGTAAGCGTTCCAGTGCACTAAACGTACCCAGAACATCTTTACAGCGGATTTTAAGGAAAGATTTACGTCTGCACGCTTACAAAATTCAGTTAGTGCAGGAATTAAAAGATAATGACGCTATTCAGAGACTAAACTTTGCGAATGAAATGTTGAATCGATTTTCTTCGCTCAATAATGTGTTGTTCTCGGACTTCCATTTAAACGGGCATGTAAATAAACAAAATTGCCGTTATTGGAGCCCCGAAAATCCAAGGCGTAAGCATCGGAAGCCCTTACACAGCCCTAAAGTTACAGTTTGGGCTGCTATGTCAGCGCATGGCATCGTAGGCCCTTATTTTTTTGAGGACGACAGAGGTCGCGCATTAACTGTTACTTCGGAGCGGTATGTAGCAATGATAGAAGAGTTTTTGACACCAGCGTTGCAGAATTTTCCAGGCTATAATACACAGACCTGGTTTCAACAGGACGGAGCAACTGCCCACACCTCCAACACTTCCATGCCCGTCGTCTGTCAACTTTTTCCCAGCAAAGTAATTTCTCGAAGAGGAGACATTTCCTGGCCACCACGTAGTCCAGATTTGACCCCAATGGACTTCTTTTTATGGGGCTACCTCAAGAGTAAAGTGTACGAAACCACTCCGCGATCAGTTGATGTCCTGAAAGAAAATATCCGAAGAGAAAAGGCAAGCATTACAGTGTTGACTTGCCGCGCAGTCATCGACAATTTTAGACGTCGTTTATATGAGTGCCGTGATCGTAATGGATTGCATTTAGACGATGTGATTTTTAAAACATAATTCCCATTCAATAAAGATGATACAAAATATAATAATTCTTCATAATGTAACTAGTTTGGTTTTATTCTTTTTTTTTCCAGCTCAAAGGACTTATGGGCCACCCTGTATTTGCATTTTTTAGCTAGAAAAGTGCTATGAACCTATCAAGGTTTGCCACAATAAATGATCTACACCCTGAACTAAACAATTTTAATTTATTCATCATCTTCAGTGTCGCAGGCAAAATGTTGTAGATTCTCGGACGAATATAGTCAATTGATCTCAAGTTTATGTTTGTGAAAATATTGGGTATTACGAGATTTCTATCAGCATTGTTTCTGGTTGAACAAGGGTGACTAACATAATATGCTCTTATTAAAAGATTTTTATAGACAAAGGAGCAAACTTTTAAAATATACAATGGTTACAGCAAGCATTTTTTTCATTATAAACATGAAAAGTAGGATATCTTTTGTTTTTTCTAAAAATTATTTTTATATGTAATTTTGGATATTTTTAAAGGTTTTAATGCTGTCTCATATAAACTTCCCCAGACAATTATCCCGTATCTGAGTAATTTCTCCACTAGGGCTTTATAGACACAGATTAATAAGTGATTGTTTAAAATTTCTCTGATCATATAAAATTTTCTAATTAGTTTTCGTAGATTGTTAGTTAACCTAAGCACATGTTGCTTCCATTTAAGATCTGGATCTATTATTATACCAAGGTATTTGGTACCAAACGATATTTGGGGCTGGTCATTTTTTAATCTCAGTGGAACTCCTAGAATTTATCCTATTATTGCTCCATAAATCCATTATGTTCTATCTGATCAAGGCTCGCTTGAAAAGTAAAACATGGAAATTGCTCAGAAATCCTCAGAAAGCCAATATTTTATTACATATATGAGAACAAAATAAGTACGTGGCATTTATAATTAACTAGTATAATAATATTAGAGATTCAAGCATAAATAGCTTCATTGCTCTATTAACCGATAAAAAAATAAATAAAACATTCTGAGGGAGCCCGAGACATATTCCAGTCCATTCCACACAAAACAATGTCTTTGATTGTGAAAACGAACATGAGGCCAAAAAATTCACATTATAGTATGGACGCTAGACAAGACAAAGAAGGATGTCTGTAGACCATCTATAGATCGTGTCTTGAGACCGTCTCCAGACTGCCTATAGACAAATTGCGCAACGGGATCAACTAGTATGTAATAAGCTTAAGGATTAAGACTCTAAACTGTCCATTAAACAAATCAAGTAAATGGTACAAATACTGGCAGAATCAAGCACGTCTATTATATCAGCAGGTGATAAAAATATCAATAGATATAGCCATGACACAAGTAACACAAAGGTGTTACATTGCAAAAGCAAATGTCAGACGTCTAAGGGAGGGGCGCGCGCCCCCCGCGCCCACCACTTAATCCTCCTGTGGTGTGGCGTCCTCGATGGGACGCCAGAACCCAGATGTTGACCTTTGGACGTTTCGATAGTGAAAAGCGCCTAAATTCTCGGACTTGTCCTGGTTCTTCCGGTTCTGCTATTGGCCTCTGGCGCAGGCGGCGCTATTTCGTCTGACCAGGCGGGTGCCAGTGGACTTCTTCACCCTGGTCTGCTCTTCTCGTTCGTGGATCTTAGATCGCTCTTCTTCAAGAACAGTTCGGAAATGGCGTAATCAGCCGTTTTGTTGATGTGACTTAGCCACCGCGAAGCTGCGATTCAACCCCGTTCGATTATTTTTTGTGGGGAAGCGTAAATGATAAATGCTATGCGGATGCACCAGCGACGATTGAGCTCTTGAAGACCAATTTTCATGCAGCCAGTGGTGAGAGACTTTGGAAAATGTACTGAAAACTTGGGCCGACAGAATCGGCTACGTCAAGCTCAGCCGTGGCGCGCATATGAATGATATCAAGGAGGCCATAAATGCGCCCTACAATTGTAGGGACGACTGATGATACGGGCCTTAGGTAGCGGAACAACTATGGAGTGTTTCCACCGATCTGGGAAATATCCCCTCTCTAAATGGCAGTTGATTATACGTCTCATATGTGCGTAGAATTACCAAGGTTGGGAACGTATACAGGTATATATGTACTAACATCAAAAAATTGAGGTAAAGCCACCCCTCCCCCTACAGCCCCCACCCCCAAGTTTTTTACCTCTAAAAGTTTCCTCAAAAATGATCAGGATCCTCTGAAAAGCCAAAAAACGATGTTTGGGCGATTTGTACTTTTTTCGTTTTAGCCCTTTTTTTCTGTCCCACTGGACATCGAAATTCCAGCGGTATACTTCTCAAGTTATAGAAATGAGTAACACGGTTTTTCTCGATTACAATACTTTCCCGTCAGTAGGAGTGGAAAGTAAAAATGATGAACTGTCTTTCAAGCTAAAACGTGTCATGCAATAATTACAATTTAATTTTGACAACTTTGGTCCCCACGTACATGTCCTCCCTAAATAAATCACCATAGCCATTAAACTGTATGCTCGAAACTAATTTGATCAGATTAATGGAATGGAATCTGGAACTAATTTCCTATTAATCCCATTTTGTTGTAGCTCAAAGCTCTTACAGTGCACACCAAGACTGATGAAATTAAACAAAGCCCCATTAGGATAGATGTTGAACACTGTTGCCAGACTGTAATGATTCTGTGGAAATAATACTAAGTGACATATAAATCCGAACACCCAGTTTAAATGATTTTATTTTAATAAAATTTTGTATAAGTACATAATGAAGCATAATAAGTAAATGATAAATATTTCAAAATGATTGCACTGCTTTAAAGCCCTTTGACTTTTAATAATGTGTGGATGCACCCTGATGTGCTACGCATTCTCCAACGCGCCTAGGCATGCTTCTGATCAGGTGGTCAATGTCCTCCTGTGGTATCTCATTCCAGGCAACCACCAACTCCTCTCGAAGTGCTTCTAGAGTCTGAGGAGGACGTTGCAAACTGAGCAATCTCCTACCCATCATATCCCACACGTGCTCAATTGGAGATAAGTCGGGAGATCTTGGTGGCCATGGTAACAATGTGACATCATTATGTTGAAAGAAGTCTATTGTGACTCTTGCAACATGTGGTCGGGCATTATCTTGTTGGAAAGTTGGATCTGCCGGGGTGTCAAGATAGGGTAAAAGATGGGGTTCTAGAACTTCGTGGATATAACGCTGCGCGTTCATGTTACCTCTGATGAAAATTAAAGGTGACCTGGAACCATAAGCTATAGCACCCCAAACCATAACTCCAACAGTGTGATGAACATGTCTTTCAACAAAAAACTGTGGATTCCTCCTTTCACCACGTCGCCTTCTAACCCTGGCACGACCATCGTGCATGCCTAAACTAAATCGAGACTCGTCACTAAAGACAATACTGTTCCATTCCTGATCCCAGAGTGACCGTTGTCTGAACCACTCAAGGTGATGACGTTGGTGTCCCAGCTTCCCGAAGTACCACTATACGACTCCTATCAAACTCACTAAGTTGACGAAATCGTACAGGTCTCCGTACTCTAGACATCGTAACCGATCGTAAAGGATGTCAAGAACCAAAATCCGCCAACGTTGATTCTTTACTGCGGCTGAAATATTCATTTTTAGAGCGTTAGTGAATTAAAAAAAAAGCAGTATAAAAACCGGAATGTCCAACTGATAAGGCTGAAAATTTTTTCACTTGTTATTTACAGTAAGATAAATACATTCACCAACTTTTATTAAAATAAAACCATTTAAACTGGGTGTTCGGATTTATAAGTCACTTAGTATAGTTTAAGTGAATGGCCTTTGAATGTTTTGCTAGAAATGTCCAACGTCTTTTAGTAGCCTAGCTGCGCCAAGGGTAAAAACGCATGTACCACAGCTGAGTATGAGAAGCGTAAATGTTGATACGGCTTATGAACTGATGTCCTACAAACCACTTTACTGCCATATCTAGAGGGCCGTCTATACGTTCTTTTTCAGCAAGACAACGCACATCCCCATATTGCTCGTCGTACTACGGACTTTCTTCAAGAAGCAGGCGTTAATGTTTTGCCGTGGCCACCGAGTTCACCGGATTTAAATCTCATCGAAAATGTGTGGGAAGTGATATGGAAGCGACTATCCACTTTGCACCATCCGCCACAGACTCTGCCACAGTTAATCCACGAAGTTCGACTTGTTTTGAATGAAGTGCCACAACCAGACATCAATCATCTCGATGCCTAGACATATGCAGGAGTGTATTCAGCTGCCGGGTCGCCCAACACAGTATTAATTTTTTTCTTATTACTTGTCAATAAAATTTCATGAGAATGTTATCGTTTCATTCTTGATGTAAAAATACCTCATTACCAAAAAGTCAAGTTGAGGAAATTGTTTTTTCTGGGTGTAACACTTCTAGTGTCACTAAGTATATTTTATACCTACATACTGCAATTATATTCACTGTACACTGATAAATTACAAGTCATAATCCTCCTTGATTCTGAAAACACAAAAAACTGGAAAAATTGTAATTTATAAGTTTGAACATAGCCTGTGTTCAAATAGGACAACATACAGTGCTTTTCTTTAATGTCCCCCTCCCCTTTGATGTTTTGAACGGGTCAATTCAAAAAAATAAAACTTGAGGTAATGAAATTGATGCGTGGATACCATATTTTAGAGTAAAACTGACAGATGAAAATGTAAAAAAAATTGTATGAAAATGGGAGTCTTGTGGCAAATCATTCTGAAACTCCTGGCGGGTACTTTATAACCCTAGAATATAAAGTCAATACCTTTACCTACTGCAAAATGGTGGTACATTTAATAATTACTTGAACACAAACCCACTAACATGCATATCTCTACCAATAATTGTAATTCCCTGCCGTATCCACAGCAACAGCGGTAAAAACTTGTTTTGTTATTTTTTGTTGACAGTGGCAAGAATATCAGTACGAAAACGAACATCATTGCACAGTTAAAATAGATTTATTTAGTTTTCGGTTTTAGTGGTAGTGTTTGAACTATTTTTAAAATGGTCAATTCGAGACGAGATCGAAAGAATTTTTAATGATCATTTCCCGAATCGTCCGATCTGTAGAAAATATTTAAGGGAACTTGTATCTAAATTTACAGATAGTGGTAGTGTGAACAACGAAAAGCAAGCTCAAATAACTGGTGAGATCCTAGTAAATCCCCAACAGTCTACTTCCTCCATCGCGAATGTATGTGAGGTTTGTCCTTCTACTGTATGGAGACTTTTGAAAAAGAATAAGTATCACCCATACAAAATCCATATGGTACATCAGCTAACTGTAGATGACCCTGAGATGAATTTTGCGAGACTATGACGGAAACCATTGCACGACATCCTAACTATATCCAAAATATTTGTTTTAGTGATGAAGGTACTTTTTTTCAACGGTAATGTGCATAGACAAAATTGTCGTTATTGGAGTGACAGCAATCCTCACGTCTTCCGGGAAACTCATACTCAATATCCACAAAAAATTAACGTTTGGGCTGGGATATTGGGAAATCATATTGTGGGGGCCTCTATTCATCGAACAAACTTTAACCGGGGAATTGTATTTGAATATGCTGGACAATACTATTGACCCTCTAATCACCGAAAACGTCGAAGCGAATCCTAATGAATTCGATACTGATATTATATTTCAGCAAGATGGTGCTCCATCACACTACTACAGACAAGTTAGGAATTATTTAGGTAACAATTTCCCCGGTCGTTGGATTGACCGTCGAGGTCCTGTGGAATGGCCAACTCGCTCGCCAGATTTGACACCTTTAGACTTTTTTATGGGGCTATTTGAAGCAAAAGGTGTACGAAACTGAACCTGCTTCAGTACTGGATATACGGTTGAGAAAAACAAATATTTGTAAAAATATCGATGTTGCTATATTTGAAAATGTTCGACACGAAATTACGGACCGGCTGTTATTGTGTCAAGAAGCTCAAGGCAACCATTTCCAGCATCTTCTAAATTGAACTCAACGTATTTATTCGAATTAAAAGTCAATGTATGCAGGTAGTTATTAAATGTACCACCATTTTGTAGTAGGTAAAGGTATTCTACGGTTATAAAGTACTCGTCAGGAGCTTCAAAATGATGTGCCACAAGACTCCCGTTTTCATATAATTTCATCTTGACATTTTGAGTCATTCCTCCATGGATAGACGATTTTGATGACGCACACAGCGAGCAAACTCGGAATTTGCGCACTAGAAACTACGTAGTCCGCAAGATGACATTTCTTCGATTTTTTTTTATGTTTTTCAGCTTTTTTACATAATACCCATGCTGGTATCAATGTGACAATGATGATATCGTTTTTTGAGTGAATTTCCCTGGAAAACAGATATATGGCAACATGGACACCCCCTGCTGGTCACGTGCGCTCCCGCGTTGCGTGGTGCGTCCCCAACAGGTTAATCTATCATGGGACCATCAGTCGGGGCGGTGAGTTTGTGTTGTAGGTACGTTTTGCACCCCGGCGGGAGGGTATTGGCGTTTCGGGCGGGACGTCAACATACAACACCGATCCCCGGGGGCTATTTTTTCTGTTATGATGTAGATTAAAGGTAAGAGATGGCTGTTGAGGCGTCCACGAAGTCTAGATGCATTTGCATGCCTTGTATTTAGTACGTCGTATATGTACACACATTTGTATGCATGGATAGTTTGGTTGAGGGTTCTACTGTTGTTTACCTGAATACAATTAATTCACTAGCAATAGTCATAGCACCCTCAGACATATTGAGCCACCCTTCGTGCTGCTTCTGCTGCTAGTGTATGTTGGTATAGGTGAATTAATTGACACGTTCGTCTTAAAACGGAGATTGTTTAACCGAAAACGTTTTAACGATTCTATATAGTGAGAAAAAAAATAATTAAACCAATTAAAATTTTAATTAGGCCAATGAAAGCATTTAATTAACCATGCGATAGCTGAAAAGTTCAAGTTTCTAAAACAGTTCTCTTGAATCTACGAAACTAGGTTAATTAAACCGAAACGCAATCGTTTAATTAAATTTATTAAACCGTTTACTTAGATTGAGTACAATAATTTATTTCAAATTAATGGACTATTAAAATAAGTTTACCTGCTCCATGTAAAACAATTTGATTATATTCATAAACTTGTTTAATTAGTTTAGATCTACTCAATTTTAATGAATTATTTTATTCAGATTTAAAAGGATATTTGGAATTTACGAGCTGGTTGTATAATTGCCCTGAAATACGTTATAATATATACAGGGTATTCATTTGAAAACTTTCCACCACGGGTATATCAAAAACCACTATGTAATTAAAAGAAAAAACGCTGAGACACGTCACAAGATTTGTGAATGAGAACAACTTTTTAACCAAAAACTACTCCACCCCATTCACCATCTGCCCCCAGGGTCATCCCCTTAAAATTTTTAAATGACAAGCAGTATCGAGTAATAGCTTGTTTGAAAGGTCTTTCCTTTATTTTGACATTTGACTTTTTGAAATCAATCGCTTTGTTTTCGAGAAAATTAGAAAAAGCTTTATTTATCTTAATTTGTTCAGATAGAAAAAAAACACACGAAAATGTCACTTTGTATTTCAATAATTACTCAAAATGTTGCCCGTTAGGGTTTGCTAAATCTACAATTCGTTTATAATTTAAAACGGAAACTAACAACATAAACAGCAATTCGGAAAATTAGACGTGACAACCAAATAACAACCCGAATTTTTTTCATCATTCTTTTCATCAACACAAATATCCTGGACGAACTGTATTTATTGTTATACCTGCTTAGTTATTTGTTGCTAAGGGAAAGAAAGAATTTAATTTGCAGTCAGTTAGCTTTGAGACAATCTTGGGATAGTCAAAATAAATTTATTGATTCAGATTTTACTTCCAAAATGGTTTACACACACTAGCCGAAAGAGTGTATATGATTCTAATTTATCGTGCCCAAAATCAATGTGTTCGGCAAACTGATGTCACGTTTAGCGCCACACATCCGAGGACTTTAACTCAAACTGGATCTGTTGCAAATCAAAATGAAGTCGCTCAAGCTGAAGTTTTGGGTCATTTTTGAATAAATCCTAATACTTCATTGCGCAATTGTTGCTGCGACTGGTATTTCATTAGGCTATGTATACACAGTTACTTAATTTCATGAATTTCATCCATTCAGAATAGAAATATTGCTAGGGTTAACCGAAGACGATTTCGACAGATGAATTGAGTTTTGTGAACAAATGACTGCAGCGATTAATGATAATACCATTCATGTAAAGAATACCTGCTTCAGTGATGAATGCACATTTTATCTAAATGGATTTGTTAATAAGCATAACTGCAGATATTGGAGCAATAAAAATCCTCATGCTTTTATAGAAAGGCATACCCAGTACCCCCAAAAAATTAATGTATGGGCAGGCATTTTAGCAAGCAAAGTGATTCGGCCATTGTTTATTGATGGAAATTTGAATGGAGACATTTATTTGGATGTTTTGGAAAATACCATCACTATCACTAAAACTATTGAAAACCAAATGGAAGAGAATTGAAACTCTATACTTGATGAAGCTCGATTGAAGACCGCTTTAAAGTTATTCAAGAGCACTACAAAAATGGTGCAAAAATAAAAAACATGTTTCACGCGCTTCGTGAACATTTCGGTCGCAACAACCGCCCAAACGAAACAACAATCGGTCGTCTGGTGCGTAAATTCGAGGCAACAGGTTCTGTGGCATATCTGCCAGGCTCTGGCCGGCCAAGGAGCGTTCGCACACCGGAAAATATTGCTGTTGTGAAGGAAAGTGTGAGAGACGATCCGAAACAATCAACAACGCGTCGATCCCAAGAATTGGGTATTTCGAGAACCAGTTTGCTCCGCATTCTCCACAAGGATTTGAATGTACACGCCTACAAGATCCAATTGACGCAAGAGCTGGGCCGACCATTTTTCGCGCCGAACCTTCTCAGATTGGCTCCTTGAACACCGTCAAATTGATGCCAATTTTTCATCAAAAATCATGTTCAGCGACGAAGCGCATTTCACTTTGAATGGGACGGTAAACAAGCAAAACTGCCGCATCTGGGCGAACGAAAATCCCCGTGAGTATCAAGAGCAGCCGATGCATCCTCAAAAAGTGACTGTGTTGTGTGCATTGTGATCAAAAGGCATCATCGGACCTTACTTTTTCGAAAATGCGGCCGGGGACGCCGTTACCGTCAATTCTGAGCGATATCACGTGATTATAGAGG